TTTGGAAAGCAGACATGAAATCCTTTTGGAAACACAAGGGACACTCCTGAAGTCACAGCCAACAAAGAGGAGATCAGTGAGTGCAACATGGCACCCAGGCTTGCAGTCCAGTGTTTTGATTTGTTCCCACCAAATGCCACAGCCCTCAGAAATGGGTTGCTTCACAGATTCACTCACTTGGCTGGAAGGTATCTGAATATGCAACCACTGAACAAGCAGCTCTAGTCCCTTGTCACTCAAATATTCTTCCCCATACTATCAGGTACTATACATTTAGCAAATGACTGCTTAGTAATGACTACAGCAAGGAATGCAATGGGCCAGCAAAAGGAGAAGCAGCCAGGTTTGGTTGGCACAGGAAACTGGATAGAGTTTGAATAGGCAGGGGGATGAGCCGAGGACATACCTATGAACAAAGTTATTCCCACAGCAAGGGTATATGTTGTGACCCTGGTGACTTAGAAGTTCAGGCTGTGTTCTAGAAGGAAGAGGAGACCAGCCTGGCTTACGGGGAAAGTGCTTCTAAAGGAAGAGGGAGATCAGGCAGCAAAAACCTCATGGAAACTTTAAGTTGACATCTGAAAAGAGGAAGTCCCAAGTCAACTATAGTTCACTATTCTCCTGTTTCAGCTATAAAATGAAGACTGAGTTAGGTATTTGAAACCTAATGAAGATATGGGCAGAAGATAGACTAAATATTAAATAAATTTGAATGCTATGGCCTGGTAGGCAGAATGACATTATTTCTAATTATTTAAAACTAAAGAACTATAGGGCTACACAGAATAATGCACTGAAATACCCTGGCTGTCTAACAGGAGTTTGCAGGTGGCAACAGTGCAGTGATTAAAATACAAGCTGACAATACACTAAGATGAAGGAGAAAAGCCCATTACAAATAATGTATTTATTATTATGTCACTGGGGGTAAAAATAAATGTATAAATGAACAGAAAAACTGGAAAACACTGTTTTTGCCTTCCTGCTTTTGTGTTTTCTAGTGTACGTGCTATTAAAGCAAGTAGTAGTCTGTGTTTTCTAAGAGAAAAGTTGTTTAATAATAAAAGTAATAACACTGCCTTCCCTTTTAAGTCTTTGTATTTTTCCAAAGCTTTTTCAAATTATCTCAGATTTGCTAATTTTTTTTCCTTTTGGCAGGACTAGGGATAGAACCCAGAGCCTCATTTATGCTAGACAAATATTCTTCCACTGAGCTATTCCCACAGCCCAATTAATTTAACTTTTAAAAGACCTATTAAACTGTTGTTCTGCCAAAGGCCTTTATGCCAAACGAATTACTATACAAAATCCTGAAACCATCCTGCCTGTCCCTAAAAAAGAGAAATGACCTTTCCATTAAAAGGGTGCTGTTCACCAATGCCTTTGCTAACAATCCAATATCTGGTTTTGCCCCACTTTGATAGAACAGAGACATAATTCATTTTTACAACCAGTGACTTTTTACAAGGAGTTTTTAAGATGCAGTGTTTAAATTAATGATGTAATGCAGTAAAGTAATACAAGCCATTAGTTAAACCAAGGGTCTGAACTATATGTCCCAGGGCTTTGCTAAGCTTGCTCGGTTATATGATGCTGAACACCCAAGTTTTCCCAAAGTACATCCAGCATTAAGATTCCAGGGTAAGGGGCTGGGGATTTAGCTCAGCGGCATAAACGCCTGCCTTGCAAGCAGGCAGTCGTGAGTTCGATCCCTGGTACCAATAAAAAAGAAAAAGACAAAAAAAAAAAAGATTCCAGGGTAAGACTACTGGCTGCTTCCCCCACCGCCATGTTCATCCTTGGTAACTGACCCTTATTATTCATGGGGCTCAAAACCATCAAACCATCAAAGTCTCTATTTCCCAGTCTCCTCTGAGGCAGCTATGGTCATGTTGTGGCCCATAAATGCAAACAGATATGCTATCCTGGGTCTTTTGGAAGTTAATGGAAACATCTTTTTCTTTGCTTCTCTTTTTCCACCTCCTTCAGGCCTATGTTGTTCTGGGATCAAATTCTCAGTGCTCCAGTAGTCATCTCAAACCCAAAGGGGACCGGGAGAATGCAAGCCATGTATGCACTAAAATAATGGAACAGGCTGGGGATTTAGCTCAGCGGCGTAAGCGCCTGCCTTGCAAGTATGCAGTCATGAGTTCAATCCCTGGTACCGATAAAAAAAGAAAAAGACAAAAAATAAATAAAATAATGGAACAAAGAATAGAACCCTGGGGTTCTTGAAGACATCGTGGAGCTACCCTAAAATGTGCCAGAGGTCTTTGCAAAAATAAATAAATTTATACCTTATTTCAGTCATTGTTATTTTGTTTCATTTCTTAAGATTATATAGTCCAATTTAAACATAATACAGAGTATATCTCAACATAGGATACTATGTGCCATATACACTTCACTGCTAGTACAGCAGATGACTGTTTATTACCAGGGTAATAAAATTTTTTTATAAATCACTGTTTACTAAGACTTTGTAACCAACTGTTAGATGTTTATCATCAGCTACTTTCTTTCTCACAGAGACATCCCCCCGCCATACACACACATACTCTTTTCTCTATTAGTTCAAAGTCATCTAACATATAAACCCCAATATATATACTGCCCTAACATGACAGTGACCAAAATCGTACTCTCTAGAACCCCTAATAAAAACAAAACAAAACAGGCCAGTGTCCCCATGTCTACAAAACACAAAGAAATTATTATTCCCAAACTGGAGACAATGGGCAAAAAATGATCTCCAACTTACCACATACTGCAGTGCAGTAAGAATGACTGGGTCATCAAGGCTCGAGCCAGAGATATGCAGTTCTAAGCAGACACCACCCACAGACTAACATCAAGGTGCTTCCCCAACTTACATTAAGATACACAGCCACGGGGGCTGGGGATTTAGCTCAGCGGCATAAGCGCCTGCCTTGCAAGCGCGAGGTTGTGAGTTTGATCCCCATACTGATAAAAAAAAAAAAAGATATACTACCATATCAACCTCAGCACTACCACATGGTCCAATATACCATGCACATTTCTGACCATGTGTTTTGTTTTGTTTTCCTTTTGCGGTATTGAGCCCAGAACTTCTTCACACTGAGCCCTGTTTAGACAGGGACTCATGATTCCCAAGTGGGACTTGAACTTGTAATCCTCCTACCTCAGCCTCCTGCAGTTCTGGGATGGCAGATATGCACCACAAGTCCTTTAAAATACTATACTTGGGGCCAGGGATATAGCTCAGCAGCACACTGCCTGCCTGGCAACCATGAAGTCATGAGTTCAATTCCCGATACCAAAACTAAATAAATAAATAAAATCAAACACTACTCTGCAGAAATTCATTACTGGCACAACACAGTATCCCTGTACACCCTTCCCCAAAAAATGATATTCAAGTCCTCTACCTTCCTTCTACAGAGAACTTTGGTAAGGGAGCCTTTTCTTCACAAGATCTTAGATTCCCAAAGATAAATCTTGTAAAAGGTAAAAACTTTATATGCCTAGTTTGAAATTACACTCAAATTTGAAACTTTATCAAGGAAATAACAGATATTTACAATTCTTTTATCCCAGCTAGACTTTCTAAATAGGCTCAATTATGTAACACTATAGCATTCTGCCTGGTTCTCTCAGCAAGATAAGGATGGTTAAAAGAAAAAAAGATTTCATTTCTACCAACCCATCTGCTGCTTCTTAACGACCATCCAAAACAACTTTCTAGGTAGAAAGTACTCTGAAGGTCACCAAAAGTGAATTTAACATGTTTAAAGAATAGAATTTTAGATGAAGGACAAGAATAACCACATGATAAAGGAAAAAATAATGGCATAGGAAATAAGAGAAACCAGATTTTACTTTATATAACTTAAATCCTCTTACGTACCATATGCAAAATGCATACATAATGTTCCACACTCTTGCAAGGTGGAAGTTTTCTATTAATAAGGGACCAGAGCATGCAAGTAGAAGATATAAAAGCTATTTTAAATTAAAAGTATATTGTATATATATATCACATGTAGCTTTAAAAATGCCTAGAAGGATACATTCTATGTTCTCTCTAAAGGAAAACACTGCAGGTTAATTCTTTCTTCTGCTTATCTGCACTAAGTTTTTTAAAATAAATACTACTTATATAATTTCAAAATGCACTTTTAAAAGTGAGCAGATTCAAAGTTCTTCCTCCCCTCCTGCCCTTCTTTCTCAGAAAGGATGCTCTGAAGTATATCCTGTATGCAACTGTAACCTCACTACAGTCAGTTCAGGCAAGAGAGCGCACAAGTCATTTTACAAGTGTAACATACTCTAGTGCCTCTGATTCAGTTCAAGGGAAGGGACTGAATTCTCCGCCGACTCACTATTTAATTATATCGAACACTTCCTTTACTGTCCAGTTTATAGATTGTGGGTGTTTAATAAAAACAGGTACTTCTCACTTGTCTGCTATTAAACATCAGGTAGTTATAGAATTAATTAATAGTACCCTTGGGCTACCAGGAGATCTGTAATACTACCCAGCCATGCCATGCTCTCCAAATTAACAGCCACCACCAGCACCGGGTTCTAGTTCAAACAATTCTCCTCTGATGTTCCCTACTCCACAAGGCACCTCCAATGGAGGTGTTTAGGTAGAAATTTGGACAGGTGGTATAGGTTTCCTTCACTTGCTATCCTACAAGAGGAAAACCCCTTTCTGTGATTATAATACACACTTCTCTTCAGTTGGAAAATTCAATTTACATTTTTGTACAGAATATCAGAATTACACGCCACCAACCCTGCCAGCTCATAGGAGTTCAAAATTACCCTCAAACTCCTCCAGTGCCTCATTCTTCTATTCCTAAACCAATTTTTCCTGGCACTCAGGCCACCCCTGCATTTCCATTCAAGGAGGGAGCATCATACAACAATGCTTCCCCAGAATTCCCTCCTACTGAAGCTGTGGCCTGAGTGTGAAGCTGCTCTCAGCCCCCAGACCAGTTCTGCATACTCACTGTTGCTGGACTTAAGGTCTCGGTGGATGATGGGAACGATGGCCTCATCATGTAGGTAGTTCATCCCCCTGGCGATCTGCACAGCCCAGTTCACCAGAATGTCTGGGGGAATTCTTTTGCCAGATAACACTCTATTCAAAGGCCCTCCGCGGGCAAACTCCATGACCAAGCAGAGGTTGGGTTCCTTCAGACAAACCCCTCTAAGGGCAATGATGTTGGGGTGCTTCAGCATAGCGAAGAGCTTGGCTTCTTGGCGAACATTCTCTATGGTCTGGCTGATGTCTTCATCGGGGTCATAGCGAGCTGCTTTCACGGCAACTTCATCACCTATCCAGAAAGCACGATAGACCTTCCCAAAGCCCCCAATGCCAATAATCTCTTCCAGGGTTAGCTCCGCAAAGTCAATCTCTAACACTGAGAAACAAGAAAAAAGAAGCAAGTGAAAAACCTCCTGAAAATACCACTTAACCAGCCACTTACCTGGAAGGATAAGCACAGGAAATTGTTCACTGGATTTTCTGTCTCCCCACTAAAAAGTAAATGCCAAATGGACAGCAACTGTGATTAACTTTAGTCTATTTCCATTGTCCTTAGTGGTGTTCAATACATATTCATAAAACAAACCCCAGAGCTGGGGATTTAGCTCAGCAGCATACATGCCTGCCTGGCAAGCAGGAGGTCATGAGTTCGATCCCCAGTAAAAACAACAACAACAACAACAAAAGTTGTAATCCTGCCTCAAAATTAACCATTTTAGTTAAAAGGAACAATCAAAGGGTCCTTTCTGAGGTTTCTTCAGCTTTACTGTGTATTTGGTGATGAGATACAATCCAGTGCCAACCCAGACAAAAATAGCCACAAGGCAGCTTGGAAAGAGATTTTGTAGCAGTATGACCAGAGGATGAGGAAAGTCACTACCTCCCACAGCAGGATGGGACAGAGTATAAGGGGAGGGGGGAATGCTCAGGAAAGACAACATTTGAAACAGGCCTAAACAATGAGGGGAAAGCCATCTCATCAAGCCATGAGGTATTGAGATCCCAGTGAGGGCAAATCCAGGCAGGGGACAGATGTGAGAGTGTAGGGTACATTGGGAAATTCAGAGAATCCAGTTTGGCTGGATCATCTGCCCTGGGTGGGAGATAAGGTTCAAGCCCTTGTCAGTGTAACCAACAAGTCCTGTAATGTTCATGATGGCAGTGTTATTAGCCTTAGGATTTATAAAGGGTACAACAACTCTGGCAGCCATCTAGAAGATAACCTGAAAGACAAAGTACCAGTGACCAGGCATGGTGGCCCTCAGTAATGGTGAGCGTGGAGAAAGCCGAGCCAACCTAGGAGACTTCCAGAGCTGGCTTTTGCCAGGACTTGCTGACTGAGACATACAGGGAAGCAGCCTCACAAGAGACATCTAACTCCAGGAGTGCCCCAATTAAGCCCCTGATGCTCCCAATAATACCCCAACCTCTCATTTCTTCTCAAATCCAGAGTTTGAACCTACGGTATCTGATTAGGGTTTGAAAAAGCTTTTGTGGGCAAAAAATAGCAGCTACCAGTGGTTATAAAAGTTGGGCTAGACATGATATTGAATGCTATGTGAGCAAAATGCTATTTTATGTTTCTCTCACGATACGTGTTCTCTGCTCAGCCTTCATTCATCCTTCCCTAGCTGATTCAGATTCAGCCCTCAGGTCTCAAATTTAAATGTCAACTCCTCCTAACCACCAGACCAAATGAAGTCAAGGTCTCCCCTCAACTGAATACTTCAGCGTGATCTCCATTTTCCGAGACTCATGAAGGTTCTAATCACTGACTGCCTGCGGCTCTGCTCGAGTGTGACAGCCACAAGGGCAGAGACTCTGTCTGCCTTCTTCACCACTGTACTCACCAGGCCAAACATTTAGTAAGTGACCACTGGGTCCTGAAACAAAATGAAAACAAAACAAACTATCTCAACAGAAAATAAAACAAATTTCAGATCTGGAAACAAAAGTGAATTGGGCCTTTTTAAACAAATGCAGAATATAGCCACATTTTATTAACAAACTAAGAAAACAAAGATACATTTCCAAACTTTTGTCAAGACCAAAAGAGAAACTGCTCACTGCTGGCTGTTCCTTTCCTTAATTGGCCAGCCTCTGATACCCACGCTCTTCACTGAGGCGCTGGTGGTGCTCAAAAATCTGTTCTTGCTTAATTATAGTACTTCCATCCTATCTGGGGCTGACATTCATTTGTATTTTGCAATGTCTACACAAAGGAAACTCTCAAGAACAGTTGGATGACATATCTTTAAGTATATAAAAAGTAGAGTCCTTTTTTTTTTTTTTTTTTTGGTAATGGGAATCAAACTCAGGACCTTGTAGTGCCAGGCAGGCACTGTGCCACTGAGCTATATCCTCAGGCCCTAAAGTGTACCTTAACTCCAAAAGTTCCATTTCTTAGAAAGGCTATCATCTTGGGGCTGGGGTAGAATGACTGTTAGAATGTGTGTTAGCACATGCAAGGGTTCAGTCTCTAGAAAGATAAAACAAGTGGGGGAGGGGGTAGAGGCAGAGAAAAGGAGAAACAGGAAGAGGCAGAGAGAGGAAGACTGGGAGGGGGACAGAGAGAGAGCAAAGATAAGTTATTCCTATGTGTGGCAGTCTTCCTGAATCAAGGATGTGGTAATAAACTCGCAAAATCCATCCCCAAATCCTGCTACCAGTACTAGAGGCCAGAAAACCACTAGTCCCTTGCTCAGGTTCCCTTAAAGCTAGAATTGTAGGTGCAAACAGTTCTACCAACTGCACCCATAAGAACTGTAAGGCAGAAGTAAAAGGGGGAAAATCATCTTGCCGCTTCTCCTTGGCAAGCAAGGCTGTCTCCAACAGCACAGCAGTCTCATGGATGTGGAATGGTACACGGCCAGTAGCTGCCTGACCTCTGAGCTACAGATACAGTACGGTGTTCTTGAAGTCAGCATCTTCAATGGCAGCTGAGATCCTGTACCTTTTCAATGAGAAGTGGAAGCTTGCCTGACACGCCAGTTCTGCAGTGCTGTGGGAGTTCTTCCCATAGGTCCAGCTGAAGTCTCTTCTCCAGCAATTCTGTGAGCTCCTTCTGTCCTACGCTAAATCCCTTTCTTGCTTAAAATACTTTGAGTGCTTCTGAGTCCTAAAAATGATTCCTGACTGAGTCCTAATTTTTGCCTGTCATCTATATGAATGAGAAAAATATGCCAAATATGTCTACATTAAAGAGAGATTAAAAACCCTCTTGGAGTAATACGTGTTATATTGAGTCGTTTTCATCATGCAAGAAACGAACATTCTCTTTTCCTTCCTACAAACATTTATACTTATGAAAAGCCATGAGCCTCTTTAACAATTGTATTTATTATCTTTTTCTTCAGCTGAGACTTTAAATTTTCTGAAGGGAGTTAACTGTTATAATTTTTCTTTTTTTTTTTTTTTTATTGGTACCGGGGATCGAACTCACGACCACCTGCTTGCAAGGCAGGTGCTTATGCCGCTGAGCTAAATCCCCAGCTCCCTGTATTTTTTCTTATACTTATATATTTTTTCTTCCCTCTGGTCTGATGTATAGCTGCCAATACACAGTAGGTGTTCAGTATTTATTAACATTCCTGAAGGTTTAAAAGAAGTGACTGAGGCCTTGGGTGCTGAAAGGACAGCTCCTCAGACCACACTTCACAGGGTGGGAAAGGAAACTAACCCCATACCTGTCTGGGGAGAATCAGGTCTTGGGCTCTTTCTTGGCTAAGGAACTATTAAGACCAACCTTAAGAAAACAGAACACAAGTTCCAAAACATATAAAATACAGAAACCAGAAAGGGGATAGGAGAATTTCTTTTTCCTTTCCTGACATGAAGTCCCTTCAGGTAGGAAGTAAGGTGCCAGATCTTAAGTCGGAACAGTTTTCCTCCTTCCTCTGTACTAGTCAAGACCTGGTTTTAAGCAAAAATCAGGTCAACCTGCATTCAGTGCACTTTTCCATTGCAATGGAAGGACGTTTCCTAGAATAAAACTTTTTATCACTTTTGAAGTCAAGATATTATCCCTCTCAACTGTAGGTTTCAAAGTTGAGTATATAAGTAGTATATTTGGGAGGATTCTGAACTGAATGATGTATACCTGAGAATGTTTATTTCTACTGAATATGGGGAAAAGTGTAAATTAATAATGTGTGCTCTATTTGAAAACAGAAACAACTCTCCTGCAAAAGAAGCTATTTGCTTTTGAAATATGCAGGTCTATGTCTCCCAAGATGAAAACTCTGAAATTGTATATTTTTATATCTTACTAAAATAAAGAAGATGAGCAAAATCCTAGATTGCTTATAACTGTATTCATGGAGAGCTAAATCCTAAATACCTCCATTGGAGTGGACAAAGTCACTATACAAATGTAAGATGGCTTAGAATATCAAAATTACATTTTTTTCCTTAACCTGAGATTTGGTAATTCCCCTCTTTAGTTCTGAAAAAAAGACTGAAACGAAATTTTCACTTTAGAAACTAAATTATAAAACTAAGTCTGAATACTATTGCTTGACTTAGTATCTTCTACTTATAATCTAGAATGTTAATATCATAATACAAGTCCCAGAGGACAAGTTCAGAAGAGTAATTCTGGGGTTTGATTTTATTCCAGATCTTTGGAGATAAAGTTTGTTAAGTCACCTTTATTTTCTAAGAGACACTAACTGGTGGATTGAGCACATAAATCAGAGACATGTCTGTCTTTGTCAATGTAGTGTAGTAACATTTAATATTTGCATCACTAATCTATTTCATCTGACTTATAAGCAACTCCTTATCTTATAATTTCTTTATCCCATGGGTATTTAACATAGTAGCTATCATTTATTAGTTATCCAGTAATTATTTCTGTCTGGAATTAAATTTTCTCAATTATCAAGAATTAATGTCAGTCAAGAGCTAATACCAGAACACCTAGTGAGGCCAGGAGAGAGCACTTACCAGGTCTTTCAAATGTCATCCTCTTCAAATCAGTTATTTCAAGGAGTATAGGGTACTTGTTACTTTCTCATTATCTGGGATCTTGATTTATGATTCCATGCCATCAAGGTAACTACTGTCACAATACAGATTAAGTCCTGGCCACCTCACAGGGAAGGAACTCCTAATGCATCACACCATGTACATGTCTGACTCTCGGAGCAGAAGTTCTTTCTGCCTAAGTCACATTTGACTGCTGATTATTATGACAGCCTGGATCCTAAGATGCCGAAGATACTGATTCTAGCTTGGGAACTTAACATAGCTCTTCTACTCTGATATTAGGTATCTCTAAAAATAAAGCCACAGAACTTCATCCACAAAGAATTTTGACTTAAGATTTAAAACTAGATCGTTTCCTAACATGCCAGACTCTTTGTACATCTTACATATGAGGCCAAATTCATCCTCAATACTATTTCAAGACACTACGCCAGGACCTTTGCTTGGCCATCATCTTACATGTACCTGTGCCAAAAAATGGGTAGCACCCAAAAACAATTTCAAGTAATATGTCATCTCCAAGCAATATAAAGATAAAAACATAGGAGTTTTAAGCTGAATGAGAAGGGCAAGAAACAGAGACAACGTTTAAATATCAACTTGACAACTAAAACATCAAAAGACAAAGAAAAGCAAAAAGGAGTTTACGATTTTGAATTTGTAACTTATCTTAAGTAAAATTACAGGGCCAGAACAACAACTGCTACAAATGAAATTTTAAAAGTAAACATTCAAAGTTGGCCCTTGATAAAGGGTTTTTTAATCGACTAAGATGCAAAGTATACAAAATAAGAAACAATAATAAATACAGATTAGCAATGCCTTTTAATGTAAAGAAATCATGGAAACTCTTAAATACAAAACAGTGTAAAATTCACTAGGACATATTTATATCTTTCTTCTAAAAAGACCCCGTAGCACTGATTAAGGGATTCTAATGGCAATTGAAGTCCTCTGAAAACAAAGAAATTTCATTACATGGATGGAAGAGGGTCTCCTGGGAAATCGATGAAAACCAGGACACCGGGAGAAAGGCCCTGGGAGGGAACCTTGGGTATGGCACCCCGGAGATTTGGCCAATTCCAAATATAGGCAAGGATCTAGGTGAGAAGAAAATGCATTGTCTGAACAGTCTGCCTGTGAAGGGACTGATCTTAGCCACTACACTGAACTCTGAATGCACTTTTCCCTAATAATTCCCCCACTCAGCACTTGTCCTCAGTCCTCATCTTTCTTAGTACCTTACTCAGAGAAACTCCTCATAATAACTTCTGAGACACAGGATTAGGATCCAAGTAATCAAAACATTTCAAAAGCACTTCAGCTCTGAGTTCACACATGCTTCCGGGACTTGAAAGCCAGCCCGGCCCCGTGTGAGACACCTCCATCACTGAAGGCAAATACCTTTAAGGGGCGGAGACCGGTGATAGAAGAGGTTGGCAAGGTCCCTGGTTTGAAAACTAAGGTTATGACAGTAACTACCGGTTTGCCTTAAATTTTTCCAGATTTAGAGACTAGAGGGACCAAAAAGGAACTGGAAATGGGAAGACTCAGGGGCTGGAACTTAGGGATGCTGACACCAGGAGCTGGGCTGAAGCAGCGCGGCCAAGGGGAAGCAGCCCAGTAGCCGGCGTCCCGAGCAAGGCCTGCGGCGTCTGGCTCCTGCGTCGCACCCATGGGTGGCCTGCAGTCCGCGCGCGCCCCGCATCCCACCCGCGCTTTTCGCGCGCCCCAGGCCTCCATCCTCCCGGTCCCCGCCAGGCTCCCGGGCCCCGCCTTCGGCTTACACTGGATGGGCGGGTAGCAACTGGGGTCTTCGCCGCCTGGCTGGCAGCGGCTGGAGAAGGCGCTGCGCGGGGTCACGTAGTTGCTGGGGAAGATGCCCACCCGCTGGTTCAGCTGCCCGGTCCACCAACCCTCGTCGCCGGACACCTGCGAGTCCTTGGACAGCACCTCCACCACGTCGCCCAGGCGCAGGGTCAGCTCGTCCTCGCCCGCCGCCTCGTACTCGAACACCGCTGTCCAGTAGGGCAGCGGCGCATCGCAGCCCAGCTCCCCGGGGGCCACCGCCGCCGCCTCCTCCTCCTCCTCTTCCTCTTCGGCCGCGGCCCCCGACCCCTCCTCCCCCGGCGGAGCGGCAGCGGCGGCGCTCGCCAAGCCGCCGAGAAGCGCTCTGGAGGGCTCCATGGAGCGGCCGATCCATAGGGTGCGGGGCCGCCGCCGCTCGCAGGAGCCGCCGCCGCCTATTGTTCATGCGGCTCCGCAGGGCTGGGGACCCCCGCCCCCGACGGCGGCCGCAGGTAGCTCGGGCCGGCGGGGCGGGGACAGCGGCAGCCGGGGCCGCGCGGCGGGGCGCCGAGTGCGCAGCGCGCGGACGCTCCCTCTGCAGACGCACACGGCGGGCCGAGTCCCCAGCCTGGCGCCCGGCCCCGCGCACGGCCCCGCGAACTCGGCGGCCCGTACCTGCGCGCGGCCGGTGCCGGTCGCCACCGCCGCCGCTCCCCTCTCCGCCCCGCCCCCCGCGCGCTCGCGACCACCTGACGCCGGCCTGGCTCCGCCCCAGCCTGCGGACCCGGGGCCGGGGCTACCGGGAGCCTGGGCCCGCCCCCCGCACCAGCCCGCGCTCCCATTGGCTGCGGAGACCGGTCCCACAGGTTCCTCCCCACCCCCTGCGCCTCAGGCGCCCCGCCCGCTTTGCGGGCTGGCGATCTCAAACTCCAGGTCGACCCAGCGCTCTCTCCCATTGGTCCACCGCGGCTTCAACCATTGGTCCACAGCACCTGTCCATTTCCTGGGAGAGCACAGCTCCTCCCGGCAGGAGGCGGCTCCCGCCTCATTGGGTGCGCTGGAGAGAAGGTGCCTCCTGGAAGGTAACGCTGAGCTTTCATTCAGACCCCAAAGACTGGAGCAGAGTCTCCTCTCTTTGTTTGCCCTGCGTGCAGGGCCTCCATTGGGCAGTTACCGGTGTTCCTGACCTCATAGGGGTGTGGGCAGAGGAGAAGCGAGCCGGGTTGCACCCCCCGAAAGAGCGCTTTCTTTTCTAGCTCCCTTTTCTAGTGGTTCTCCACCTCTTAGGTCTGATTGCGCTAGTCCAACCTGGAGGATCTGCTTTTGCCCCCCACCCTTACCGCCCCCCTCGCACCCGTCCCAACCCGGAGCCTTCCACTCCCTATGTAAGTCCACAGTAGTGCTTGGTTCAAGAACTCCTTAGAACTACATTCCTCGCCTTAATGAAATCTGCACAGCTCGCCAGCTCCCAGATTCCATCGTTTTGGAATCCAGAAAGGCCGGAGACCACCTTACAGGGCCTTCGCACTGAGGCAGGGAGAGCTGATGTGAAGCAGGCCTGCCTTCCCTGAAGAGAATCAACTTTTCTGCAGTCTGTGGGTGTCTTGCCTGGAGTTGCACCTTAGGTCATACTAGTGACGTCCACAGAGCTCAGAACAAGAACCAAAAGCAGGAAACGAGAGCTGACGCTGTGCTCCTCTATAAGGGCTGACCTTTCTCTACACCCCTTTGTTGTACTCCATTTATTTTTCAGACATTAAGAAGAACATACAGGGCCCCTGTTTTTCCTCTGTGCTTTGATCCTATTATAGTAAAGTCCACTAAGGAAAATTCTCTGTTATTTGAAACAAGCCAGCACTTAAAGATATGGCTTCAGAGCTACCAAACTGTGCTGCCTTTTCCTCTTTAGAGGCAAAAATAGAGACGATTTATTTAGCAAGAGTTAGTACTTCTCCACAGTTTTCTTGTATCATTTTAGATTGAGATTTATCATTAGACAAACGAGCAATTTGGGAAAATAACCAGGCTGAGGCGAGTGTTTAGCCCTGGCTTGTACCCTGCATATCCTGAAAGTGGGGGGCAGGACTGCAACATTAGTGGTGTTTGTGGATAAATATGGCTCCCTTGAGCCCTAGGCATCCAAGTGGGATGGTATTGTTCAAAAAGCTGCCAGCCAGGCCAGGTGGCACACTAATTCCAGTTACTCAGAAGGCTGGGGCAGGAAGATGGCAAGGGCAATAGAAGGAATCTAGTGATTTAGACCTTCTCAAAATAAAGAGATGTGGTGGCACACTCTTGTAATCTAAGCACACTGGGAGGTTGAGGCACGGAAAATAGTAAATTTGAGCCCAAGCTAGGCAAATTAGCAATTTAGCAAGACCCTGTCTAAAGGGATTGTAAACATAGCTCAGTACAAAGCCCTGGGTTCAATTTCCAGTAACACACACATACACACTTGCATGTGCGCACACACATGTACACGCACATGCACTAAAGCATATCCAGAGTAGGTTTTGAGAAAGAGTTAATAATAAATGTAATAAATGCCCTAAAGCCATTTGAATTCTCTACTATATGTAGAAAAATATGTGTAAGAGTCCATGTAAATTCTCTAGCTTTTGGTTAAGATAAAACCATGCCTTCTCCAAACAAAAGAATCCCAGAGTGTAGGTACTTCATGTTTTAAAAAGACCTTAAGAAAAAAGATTTTCTTAAAAAAAAGTTTTCTTGATAAAATTTTAATGGGGGGAGGAATTTTATAAAGCGATTGTAGACACACAAAAAGGAAACACCATAAAGAAAAATATCTGTATTTTGGGTCTCTTCAAGTAGAATTTTGAGTAATTGGATGACTTTGTCATTTTGCTTATGTATAATTTTTTTATGTTCTGCTCTATAGTTTTGTGGATTCCTTCCTCCCTGGGAAAGGGAAAGAGAAAAGCAACCCCTGAAGCCTACCAACAGGAAATCTTTAACTCCCTGTACAATTTAAATTGTTACTGCTATAGCACGTGTTCGGGATCTCCTGAAGAATCATTCATCCAACATTCCAGCAAGTCATTCAGTAAATATTTCTTCAGTGGGTAAGTGCTAGGAATTCAAATGAGGAAAGATCCTTACTCTAAAGTTGTTCAGCAGGGCTTCAGGGAGGAGGTCAAATCAGAGGTGGTCCCAGAACATATGGTGAGTGAGCACACACATCAGCTGGGAACGCTTGGAAAAATAACTCCTTAGGTGACATAAAAGGATACAAAAGAACTCTGAAAAAATGAGAGAAAAGCAGATTATAGAGGGCCTTGTGATTGCTTGATTCACACTAGTAATTATTTAATTGATTATTTGCAATTATTTAGTGTCAAGTGCATTCGCCATAGGGCAAGGACCAGTCCGGCTGGTTTTCCCAGTTCCTCCAGGACCTAGAGAGTGCTTAGCGCTCAGTTGACTCTCAGCACATATTTTGCAACTCAATGGCTAAATTAGCAGCCCAGGGAGTCAGGGTTTTGTTCAACAGATAAAAGGTTATCCCTGCAAGCTTAGGATCAGGGCCCCCAAACAGTCAGACTTTTCCTGTGTGAAGATCTGGATGGGTGAGGAGAGGCTTCAGTGGAGCTGGAGTCTACAACTTAATCAGCTGAGAACAGAAGTCATGGAAATGGATATTGAGGTGATGGGTAACCATGACAGAAATTCTAACCAGAGAAGAGACAAGAGCAAAAAGGCAGTGAAACTGCCTGAAATAAAAGAAGTGCAGAGTGAACTCCAGGTAGAATCGCCTAGATTTCACCATTGTGAGGTTCCTGAGCAGGAGATTGATGAACCATAACAACAAAAAAGAACATTTCATTTGTGGCACGGAGAGGTATAAAACCAGGCGAGGAGGAAATAGCAAATTGGCACTGGACTCAGGTCAGAAGGTCATGGTGTATCCTGACCCTGCCCTTTACCAAACCATGTGATGCTGAGCAAGGTATGTGTTTGAACCTCATTCTGAAATAGATGTCATAGTAGAACCCACCTTTTATGGATGCTTAAAGGGTTAAATGAGTTGAGACCTACAAAAGCATGCTGCTAACACTGAGTGATTATTTAACAGTATTTCTTTCTCTCTTTCCTCTGTGCATCACCTGCAAAAACATGTTTCACTTGCACTTCAGCTCAGGCCTTTTGCCTGGAAGCCAAACCTATGGCTTTTCTCAAAAAAAAAAAAAAAAAAAAAGATGGAGAGAAGGAAGAAGGAAAGAAGAAAAAAATAATAAAGACAGTGGAGAAAGAAAGAGAAGGGAAGCAAAGAATGAGAGCCAGCTGTATAAACTAATGGTTTGGGAGCTGGATTCTGAGTGAATTTGAACCCATGCTTACTGGTTTCTGTGAAGTGACTTAACCTTGTGTCCCCAGATCCCTTATCTGGAAATTAGGGATAATAGCATCTATCTCTCTGGGCTCCTGGAATGATCAAGGAATATGATGAACGTTATATGCTGAATACAGACTTTAACCCTACTTATTACAATTGTAGCCTAAAGTACAATTTAGTAGTTTCACCCTCCCTTTTGGTTCTTTCGAGGAATTTTTAAAATCAGCATTTTGGTACCAAAATCCCTCAAGCAGGCACTGACCTTTTCTGAAAGAGAATTCAGTCCACCCTTCTCATTTGTTATGGTATGCCAATTCAGGAAAGGGGCCCGAGGTCCTCATGTGTAAAACCCATTTGTAACAGTATGGGTTTTTATTTTTTTCAGTACTGGGGATTAAATCCAGCACTTTTGAACTGAGCCACATCTCTAGCTTTTTTCTTTTTCTCCTCCTCCTCCTCTTTCTCTTCCTCCTCCTTGTCTTCATTTAAGTTTATTTTGAGTCAGGGTTTCACTAAGTTTCCCAGGCTGGGCTCAAACATGTGGTCCTCCTACCTCAGCTTCCCAGAGTGCTGGGATTACAAATGTGTGCAACCATATCCAGCTTCAAAATGATTTTAAATGAATGGTACAGGAAGGTGTGCATGGAGCTGATGGAAGAGAAATTTAAACCAGACTTGAAAGTTTGCCCCAGAATAAATTACATTATGGCGATAGTTCAACATGGTGGAAGGCCAAATACAGGATGCTTACTCTGACTTCCTCCCTTCTTCCCTGATTACAGCTTTCTTCTTCCTTTCCCACAGACATGAAGAAAATTCCAATCAGCTCCTCCAGCGTCATCAATGCTGGCTTCTGCTCAAAGGTCACATATACCCCTCACCCCTAAATCCCAGCAGAGGAGAAAGCCAAACGCTTGCTGGTTGTGGGCTTCTCTCTACATCCTTTAAATAACAAGGCCACTTTTACTTTTTCTTATATTCTGCTCCTTTATTGAGCTGGAAAACTCTTAACAAGACTCAGGTTAAGATTTCTGATCAAGTAGGCATAACTTTGAGCCAAGCTTTTGTATCATTAGCCTTAAAATTACCCTTGTAGAATGTGGTCAGGAAAAAAGGGGACCCCTGGTAGCATCTCATACATAAGTGCTCAATTAATTTTTAAATGTTTTTAATGTCACTGATAGTGTTTTAATTCCAGTGTTTCAAGGAGTAATGCTTTTTTTTTTTTTTCTTTTCTTTTCTTTCTTTCTTTCTTTTTTTTTTTTTTTTTTATTTTTGTCCCAGGGATCAAACGTGCAACCTCATGCTTGCCAGGCAGGTGCTTAAACCAGTGAGCTAAATCTCTGGCCCATAGGAGTAATGCTCTTTCAAACATCAAAATGGTAAGGAATCTTTCCTCTTTTCTTCTCCCACTTGTCTGTTATGAAAACCATGCTTCAGACTAGGGGCAGTGTGGGAGTGTCAGTGTCTCTAGAGAGAGCTGCATTTTAACATTGATCAGAGCCCTTCATCAAGGAGTGAAGGTCATACAGAATTTCTGTCTCATCCAGCTGGTAACAGAGTGAGCCCCTGGGACAGCTTTTGTGAAATTTCACTGCTTATGTCCATGCTGGGCCTCCGAGAACTTCATGTAAGCTTTCAGTCAGGGATCCCAGATAGTGATATAGGGGAATGAAATTTTCGACCTACTATATGTCCGGTCCGAGTTCATGTTCTCTAAAATCGAAGAATGAAGTTCAGGAACAACGGAGGTTAAGAGTGGCATATATTTATTGAAAGAAGGAAAATTCTGTCTGAGAGAGGCAGAAGGGGTCCTAAGCGGGTAGCCAAAGACTGTCTTTTCTAGGCACTTATATAGAGTGCCTAGAAAGGTGAGATGGGTCAAAGGTAGGGAAAAAAGAAATGGGAACTTGCAAGGCAGACAGGCATAAGGTGCGACAGAACTATGGTTAACCAATAAGATTAATTGTTCAGATAAAATTGATTGGGGACAAATGGGAAAGCGAGTCAGGCATTCTTAGGGAGCAGTGACTCTTCCCTAGGGGGTGACTCCTGACTTCCATAGGGTGATAGAGAACTATTTAGAATACCAGTCCTCATATTTGGGTGAATTTGTTTGATCTTTTGTCTTGAGGCCTGGCCCACAGCAGGAGGTGTCTGTCTCCCCCACAGTTGTGAGATATCTGGGCTCCTGCACTGGCTTCTTCAAGGACCTAGCCCTGTCTCACTGCCTATAATATTTCTAACTAATTCAGCTGCCTGTAACAATAGGTCCAAGCAAAAAGAAAGAGAGGCTGTTAAAGAGATTATTCCTGAAACTGGGGTCAGCAAAGAACATGCAACTACTGGGGAAATGATCACAATGTGTATGGGGGGGAATCTACCTGCTGTAATTTTAATATAATTTTCTAAAAATGTGATAATCAAGAGGAAAAAGCATGTATGAAACATATTCCTAATTATGTGGAAAATATATTTGCACTAGTATTAAAAGCAATGTATCAAAATGTGAAGGGCAGTTATCTCTAATCTAGAAGTGACTATTTTCAAGTAAGCACACATCAGTAAACTTGATTTAACCATTGTACCACATATACAGATAGCAAAACTTCGTGTTATACACCACAATACACAGTTTTGTCAGTTAAAAGAGTGAAAAAGAGGCTACCAAAAAAAAAAGAACAATATGCTATTGCTGATGATAAAAACTTCTAATGATGCAGAAAGGTGCACAACATGGTAAATGAAAAAATCCTTTATACAGTATGAACCCAAATGTGTATGAGGTGTGATTAGAAGCTACAATGAATGTTTACATAAAGATTCAAAAGTGCGTTACGGAAATTAATCCCCTTCACGAGCACACTTACGCCATTGTGCTTGCCACTCTCTGTGCAGTTATAGGAGTCCTCCTTCACAAGCATCTTTAGTTCCCCTGTCCAGGCTGCCTCAGTTATAATAAGAGATTCAAACCTTTACCTTTCATGGTCAAAAGGAAGAAGAGCCAGAAGGCACAGGGTGCCAGATCCCGTGAATGAAGTGGATGAGGGTGCCCCATGCTTTTGTAAACTTGCCTTTCTGTTGGATGGCACTCAGTAGCAGCAAATAGCATATTTATATATTTACATATTTATATATGTATATATACATATATGTACATATATATATTTTTTTAGCATATATTTTTTTAATCACACCTCGTAAAGACATGAAAGAAGACTTCCAGAACTGCTTCAGAAAGGGGCAAGAAAGGTAGGATATGTGTGATTGCAGTGAGGGGGGAGTATTTTGAGGTGTATTAATGGCAATGTGTCCTTTACTGTAATAATTTTTTAAAATATTTAAACAGTCACTGTATCGTTTGATCACACTGTGTGTGTGTATGTGTGTGTGATTTTACCAAAATCTTTTTAATTAAATAGTAAGATGGGTAATTTTTCTTGCCTTCATTTCAAAGAACTACTTGTCCTTATTTTTCATAGCCATATTTATGGCTAAAATAACCATATAATATTTCTGTAGTTGGAATAAAGAACTACAAAATCACTTTTTTGTCCCAGTGAATAAATTTCAACTGAAAGTATTATTGTTAACTGGGGAGATGGTAGAGGAAGTAAAAAGTCCCTGAGAATATTAATAACTATATTATTAATAATACAAAATACCGATAATGATCATAGCTGCTACCAGTTACAGGCTGCCAGGTATCATGCACCATTCACAATTTATTTAATTTGACCAACTTTAAAAGCTCTTCCATGGAAACAGGTGCTGGGGTCCACATGCTACTCCACTCATTCCCTCTCTCTCTGTCCTGCGCCTCTCTCGGTTGTGTGCAGACATATTCAAGGACTAAGCATCATGTAGGGTCACTCACCTAACACTGGCTTCAGCCTTTGATTCTTCATCTTTTCAAAACTTGGTCGTTAAAGCATGTTAGTAAGAAAAATTTAAGCTCAAATTTCAACTCACGGTTTTAGCTCTGAGATTTACACCTGAGAAGGATAAGAATCTGAAACAATATCGGCTTAAAGATTTTTGTGATTTTCTATCAAACAAATCAATACAATCTGATGAATTAGCAACTCTTCCTAATTGTCCATGAACATATTTTACAGTAGCTGCAGCTGTTTCCTGATGACCTTTTGGGGACAATGGAAGGCAACTGCGCCACTGTGTGGCGATTTGGGCCATGGCGCTCTTTTCCTAATTGCTTTAATTTTTTTTTTCTAATTTCATATTTTAAATGCTGTAAGTAACCACAGCGGCCACTGGGTGGAGGTCTTTCAATTCCTTAGTGTGGAAACTAACATTAAGACAAATGATACTTCAGCAACTGAAAGTCTAACATCACCTAGATAGAGAATAGGGAGTTGGTTTGGGGGAGAATGTCAGAACTGTAAGATTAGACATGCTGAGTTGGAGATCACTCTTCTGTACGACTTGCTGTGTAGTCTAGAGCAACATACTTAACCTTACTGACAGGTCTCGGTGTCTTTGAGAATAAAAGAGATTGAAAAAAAAATCGTACACATTTCCTAACAGGGTTTTAAAGATGAAGTGAGCTAATACATGGGCCACACCAAGAACATGCCTGGAACATAGCCCTCCACAAAGGCAGAGTGATCATAGTGTCTGCTGGGACCCTCAGAAAGTCCTAGGAGCATTCTTTTTAATCACTTCTACTAATAAGGAAACAGATTCAGAGAGGTTATTCAGTGGGGCCACCACTGTAAACAGCAGATTCACACACTTGAGTGTGGGTACCTGTTTAAAATCTCCTATAGATTAAGTGTCTGTTCCCCAGAATTCATGCGTTTTGGGAGCTTCATCCCCAAGCTTACATATTAATATTTGGAGGTGGGACTTTTGGTAAAAGGTGAAAAATTTATATGATCTAAAGAGAAACCAGAGTGGTGGGACCTTTGGGAGATGATCGAATAGATTAATCCATTCATCCATTGATGGATTATTAAAGCAACTTTTCTGGGGTATACATGCTGTTTCTCCATGTGATGCCCTCTGCTCCCTAGGGTCCTACAGAGTCCCCACCAGCCATAAGAAATGACCAGATGTGGCCCCCTGGTCTTGAACTTTTAGCCTACAGAAATATGAGCCAAGTAAGCCTTTATTCTTTCTAAATTACACAGCCTGTAGTATTCAGCTACAGCAGCAAAAAATAGACTAAGACAAAATCCATTTCCTCAGACACTGTTAGTTTTATGTCAAGCCAAATTTTCTCAAGAGTCTTCTCATGTTTATGGGCTTTGTCTTTGCAAAAAACATTCTTTTGGGGGGAGTGAATAACAGCAAAAGATAACTTGCAAAACTCCCCTACACTTGAGATCATCTTTCAGACACAATGGGGGCAGCAGATTTCCTCGCACCCCTGCATCACAACCCTACTGCTGTGGCCTCCTCGTGGAGACACCCCACGGACACCCAGCAGCCAACTCACCCCCTTCTGCTCCCTGCCCCAGTCCTGCTCTCCTCTGCAGGTCACTGACGGGAGGACCCATGTGTGACCTGTCCTCCACTCATGGCCCAGGGGCACCAACTGGGGACACCTGAGTTTAGTGCTTCTGCCTGTGCCTCATGCCCTGACCCTCCCAGCGCAGCGGGAGGCCGTGCTCTTCAGAGGCCTAGGCTTCTGCACTTCTGTACTCTGGAATGGAAAAAGGGGAGGTTCTCTTAGAACTGAAGGAAGCAATTTCCCATCAGACTGTGAAGCTGGATGTGGGAGGGAACACAGAAAACCTCAAAGGGAATGTGTCTGAGCGACCAAGGCTCTCTTTGTCCTCCTCATCCTCTTCCCCCTCTTTCTCCCTCTCTTCCCTTACTTTCCCTCCTTCCCACTTTCCCTTCCTCTGTCTTTTCATGCTTCTTTCCCTTCTTCCTTCCTACCAGCTTCCTTTTTCCCTTCCTCTCTCCCTTTCTGCCTCCACCCTCCCTCTCTCCTCTCTGATCCTTTTCTCTTTGTTTCTTTCCTTCTGGAATAATGTGCCCTGTTTCACTGCAGACACCCCCAGAACAAACCTCGACACACAGTCCAAGCAAGCACCAACCAAAGTCTTGCTTCTATTGCTGAAGCCATTCGCCTGCTGAAGGGCTGAGCTGGCTTAGAAGGCTCACTTTGCACACTAGGGGTGTCTTATGTGGCGACTCGGATGTGCCTAGGTGTAACTGTTCCGCCCTTAATTTAAGCTCCCAGTTGTAAATACAGGTTCCAGCTCCTATTAATAACTCCCAGTCGTTACACTTGCCACCTGTCACTCCAGTTAGTCCGACAGTGACCCAGCCTTTCCTCTCCTGCTCCCAGCTCCTAAGTGATGCCTGGAGCCCGGGACTTCAGCTGGCTCTGCCCATCATTCCTGGTTCCCTCCCCTTCTTTCCACCCCACTTGCCTGGTCCTGACCCTGCCACATCTCTCCTCTGGGCCTGTGCCAGGAGGCCACAATAGGGATATGGGTGAGAAGGAAAGAAAAAAAGGAAGTGAAGTCACAACAGTGAATCCAGTAAGCCCCCAACATCCACTTGGGCTTGTTCCAGTCGTGGGTTGTGGAAATGGTGGTCCTGATTCTCTGAGTTCCTCCAGTCTATGGTGAGGAGAAAGGAAAGACTGCTACAGACGAATCCAGTACCACTCGAGGAAGCTCGTTAGACCGCGAAGCCTTCAGCCCTCAGTCCTGATCTACCCTATCTTGTTTGCTTCCTCCCTGTCTCAGCTCTATCCTTTATATAACCCAATGCCTAGAAAGGGCTTGAACTTGAATTGTAATTATATCTCAAGTATTATCTGAAATGGGATTCAAAACTCAAAATAGAAAAGAAACCTCTTGACAGAAGACAAGGAGCACATTAGAAGAGGTTGCCCTGGGTTCTGTGTCCTTGGTGACAGCTGTAGTTCTCTCAAAGATCAGTGGTTCTTTATACCACAGGAACACCTATCCATCTGCCTCAGTCAGGACTGTTTCTCCAGGTCTCTGCTAGCTCTGAAGAAACAGAGAATAAGGGGCTGGGGGTTTAGCTCAGCGGCATAAGCGCCTGCCTTGCAAGCAGGCAGTCGTGAGTTCGATCCCCGGTACCGATAAAAAGGAAAAAGACAAAAAAAAAAAAAAAAAAAAAGAAACAGAGAATAGAACAATGGATGCCAGCAAAGTGCATTAAAGTACTTTTTTTTTTGTCTTTTTGAGATAGAGTCATTATGTAGTTTAGGGTGACCTTGAGCTTACTTTGTAGCAGGTCTCAAACTTGCAACGATCCTCCTGCCTCAGTTTCCCAAGTGCTGGAATTACAGGCATGTGCCACCATACCCAGCTGGAGAAAAGTAATTTTGAAACCTTGTATTTTCCAAGAAATTTCTTGGTCAGTGCTCCTGAAGCCAGACTGCCAAGTCAGCCTCTCCAGTATCAGCTGAAGTCTGACATGTCTGACTGTATCAACTCAGCCTTTTGGAACTCCATCCACTTCCTGAAAACCTACCTGGTTCACCCAGTAACTCCTACTGTCTGTCCTTCAAGACCTGATTCCAAAGTTCCACACTCTGGGAAACTTGTAGCCTGAAGGTACCAGGGAAGCTTCCTCTCTGGGCTCCCCCAGGGCTGACCCGCACTTAGAGCGTGCTTTGCATGGGCCCTTGCTCTCTTCTCTTGGCCATGGTCTCTGAGGAAAGAGACTTTGCCTTCTTCGTTGGTACCTGGTGCAGTTCCTGACTGATTCCTCTGAAAGGCATGAGAGATAATTGTTGAGGACTACAAATTCACAACAAATTCCCTAAGGGATGAATGGAGGGTTGGAATTTCCCACAATCCCAATAGGGTTGGGCCATCCTCTCCCACCTACTAAGACAGACTAAGGCCACTGAGACTAAGACTACTGAGACTTCAGATGCTCCGGGGTAAGATGCTCATTACCTTAAAATCACTGCTGCTCTCTAAGTCAGCTGATACTCTGTCTGATTATTGTGTACACCCAATAACAAGTGGTTACCAGGAGTATCATTGACTCTGCCCATCCTGAGGCATTGATCTCCCAGTGCCCCCTTTTATGAATTACTAAATTTGTTTCTGTGTTTTTTTCATCTTTTACTGTACCCCTCAGGCAAACATTTGGGAATCTTGGCCAGGTCCCCAATAGATAATAATACTTTTATAGTGACCTGGCACTTAACCTTTCATCATTCAGCCCTCAGACAACCCTGGAAGGTGAACATAAGTTGGAATACTTTGCCCAGGTCATTTTTATAAGTGGCTGCTATAGTTTGAATCTGGTTTGTCCCCATCAAATCTCCTGCAGGGCTTGATCCTCAATGCAGCATGACTGGGAGGTGTGGCCAGTGGAAGATGTTTGGGCCATGGGACTGGGTCTTTCAAGCTATGGGCTTTTCTTTTGGGGATGAGTTCTTGCGCTCTGGCTGGGTAAGTTACCCCAAGAGTAGACTGTCACGAAGCCAGTTTGGTTTTCCTCGACTCTCTCACCTCTCTCCTGCACATGCCCTCTCACTTTGCCACTTTCCCCCTGACCTGAAGCAGCATGTGGCTCAATAGAAGCCAAGTTGGTGCAACCTCTTGACCTTGGATTTCCAACTTCCACACCAGTGAGCTAAATAA